CCAGCTAATGTTTTGTATTTTTAGTAGAGACGGGGTTTCACCATGTTGACCAAGATGGTCTCGATCTCTTGACCTCGTGATCCACCCGCCTCGGCCTCCCAAAGTGCTGGGATTACAGGCTTGAGCCACCGCGCCCAGCCAGGTAATCTATCATTATAACAGACATTATTTGCTCCCATCTCCGCTTCCTACGCTTTCTATATCAGAATCAAACTTGAGGCTTTCCTAGAGAATGTTTAAACTTTGATTTCTAATTCAAGCCCTGTCATAGAGCCAAGTTATTTTGCTGAGATTTGTTTCTAATGTTATTCTCTTGTAAGTTCACTAAGTTTTACCGTGTCTTCACGTACTCCCTTCTGAGGTATAATCTTAGCATCTCCACAAATAATTCCTTATCCTTCAACACCATTTTTTATCAATGGCTGTCGGAAACCACTCTTTGCTTGTTTCATTCCAGGTATGTTATGGAAGATTAAAAATTTAGAAATGTGACTTAAAAACATTTGGGATACAGCATGATTTTTGAATAAGAGACATCACAAGAATACCTTAGTGTTTATCGACATTTCAAATGGTAGAGTTAATAAAAAAATTGTCTTGAAATGTGTCAGTATTTCAGGACTGCTACTAGATGCTGTGATTAGCAATAAGATACCTGAACATGATTTGCCAGAAATTGCAGAAACTTTTCAATAAAACAGTTTTGTTAAACTTTGTAATTCCTACATCTTTCTCCCATCCAGCATAATATTTAAGACATATTCTATTTCTAAAGATTAAACTTTCTGTTTTGGAATTTTTGAAGATCTTATTGATGTATCTCCACAGGCTATAAAGTTCTTGAGGGCAGAGTTTGTGTTTATTGATCTTTCTCTACTATTTAATATAGTGTCTAGAATATTATACTTCCTATGATATTTTCTAAATGAATGAAGTAATTTTATACATCTTTGGATTTTGTCAGAATTGCCAAAGGAATCACTGTTTTCTTCTCTTTCTGTACCTCCTAACAAAGGCAAATAATAGTCTATAATAGAATACTTATAATATTGAAAAGATAAATGGCTCCTCTGTTTTTAAAAATGAAATTTGGTAATTGTGAGGAAATTATCAAATTAAGGTAGTTTTTTTTTTACGTGTGTGTGTGTGTGTTTTTTTTCTCCAGAGATTTTTGTTTTCTTTTTTTAGAGACAGAGTCTTGCCCTGTCACCCAAGCTGGTTGGCA